CATGGTCAAGTCAAGTCAAGTCACCTTTATTTATATAGCGCTTTTAACAATACAGATTGTGTCAAAGCAACTGAACAGCATTAATTAGGAAAATAGTGTGTCAATAATGCAAAATGACAATAGTAAACACTAATTTTCCAGTTAAAGACAGTTCATCATTGAATTCAGTGATGTCTTCATTCAGCTCAGTTCAGTTTAAATAGTATCTTTGCAATCATTTGCAATCAAGTCAACAATATCGCTGGAAATGAAGTGTCCCCAACTAAGCAAGCCAGAGGCGACAGCGGCAAGGAACCAAAACTCCATCGGTGACAGAATGGAGAAAAAACCTTGGGAGAAACCAGGCTCAGTCGGGGGGCCAGTTCTCCTCTGGCCAGACCAAACCAGCAGTTCAATTTCAGGCTGCAGCAAAGTCACATTGTGCAGAAGACTCATCTGGTTCCTGTGGTCTTGTCCCGGTGGTCGTCTGAGACAAGGTCTTTACAGGGGAATAACATCTGTATCTGGTGTTCATCTAGTTGTCCTGGTCTCCGCTGTCTTTCAGGGCTGTAGAGGTCCTCTCTAGGTGCTGATCCACCATCTGGTCTGAATACGTACTGGATCCGGGTGACTGCAGTGACCATCTGATCTGGATACAGACTGGATCTGGTGGGTTGTTTCAGGGTTGGCATCATCTGAGGTCCTCTGAGGGGTTGGCATCATCTCTTCTCAGGTGTTCTGGATCCAGACTGAAGCTTGTGTAAATCCTAGTTACATCCCGTGGCAAAAACAGAGAAACAAATAGGGACATAATTAGCGTAGCTGCTGTTCCAACCAAGCAAAATTGATTTGTTTAGCCCAAACTAAAGAATAATAATGTGCATTTGATCAGATATAACTGCAGTACAAGATTATGATATGCATTATTTGAATGCTTGGCCAAAGAGATGTGTCTTTAATCTAGATTTAAACAGAGAGAGTGTGTCTGAACCCCGAACGTTATCAGGAAGGCTATTCCAGAGTTTGGGAGCCAAATGCGAAAAAGCTCTACCTCCTTTAGTGGACTTTGCTATCCTAGGTACTACCAAAAGTCCAGAGTTTTGCGACCTTAGGGAGCGTGATGGATTGTAGCGTGGTAGAAGACTAGTTAGGTACGCAGGAGCTAGCCCATTAAGGGCCTTATAGGCAAGTAATAATATTTTGTAACTGATACGGAACTTAATAGGTAGCCAGTGCAGAGACTGTAAAATTGGGGTAATATGATCATATTTTCTTGACCTGGTAAGGACTCTAGCCGCTGCATTTTGGACTACCTGTAGCTTGTTTATTGAAGATGCAGGACAACCACCTAGCAGTGCATTACAATAGTCCAGTCTAGAGGTCATGAATGCATGAACTAGCTTTTCTGCATCAGAAACAGGTAACATGTTTCGTAACTTTGCAATGTTTCTAAGATGGAAGAATGCTGTTTTTGTAACATGGGAAATATGTTTTTCAAAAGACAAGTTGCTATCTAATATAACACCCAGATTTTTGACTGTAGAGGAAGTAACTGTACATCCGTCTAGTTGCAAATTGTAATCCACGAGATTCTGTGTACTGTCTTTTGGTCCAATAAGTAATATCTCTGTCTTATCCGAGTTTAATAGGAGAAAATTTTTGGTCATCCAATCTTTTAAATTTTTAACACGTTCTGTTAGCTTAGATCATTTAGAAGTTTCATCTGGTCTTGTTGAGATATATAGTTGAGTATCATCTGCATAACAGTGGAAGCTAATCCCGTATTTTCTAATAATATTACCAAGGGGCAACATGTATATCGAAAATAGCAGAGGACCTAGGACAGATCCTTGTGGCACTCCATATTTTACTGGTGATAATTGAGATGACTCCCCATTTAAATGAACAAAGTGGTAGCGATCGGACAGGTAGGATCTAAACCATCTTAAAGCCTGCCGTTGAATACCTGTTATTTTAAGTGTTTTTAAGAAATGCATCTTACAAAGGATTTGTCTTATGCACATAAATATGCACATAAAATGTTTTACAATGTCTAAACATTAATAGCAGCTAAACATTATTACTAATTCCACAGAGACTTACACTTTCTACATGATAAAGACAATCAAATGTATGTGCTATTATATATTGTTACTTGTTCTGTAAAGAAATACAGAAATCTGCCTACAATATACAATACTTAGTTTAATTAACTGTGTAACTAACATTTAAACAGAATTAGGCCCTTAGGTTCAACCATAAGCCTGACTAATGAAAGAAAAGCGAATGAGAGTTTTCGCCTTGAGTAAACTAAACTCTTTTTTTCAGTAATGAAGCAACATAAAAACAAAACTATAAAAAAGAATCATGCCATTTATTATATAGTACTCGTTTAGACTGAGATCTCATTATGTGCCAGAGCTGTCCTTGCTCTTCTCCTTCTCTTCATGATTATCTTGGCAAAGTTCCTTTCCCACAACCACATTTTCAGACTCCACATCTTCGACTCTTAATGGATCCACTGAACTGCCAGACAGAACTTCCATCTCATCTTCGCTGAGCGGCTCCATCCCGGCCTCTTCCTGCCTCACGGTCACCGAATCGATTCCTTCCTCAGTGCTATTCACACCGGCAAGACTTATTTCAGTATCGTTTGGTTGGTTCTCAACAGACTCATCAGGCTGCTGCTCGGGAAGGCTCTTCTGCTCATGGGTGAGCATGTGTGCCATGTAGCCTCGCAGTGAGAGGTAAATTTTGCAGATGTCACAGTAGAACGGGGTCATCACGTTGTGTCTGTCCATGTGTTTGACGTAGCCATTGACTCTTAGGAAACTCTTATCGCAGGTCTTACACAAGAGTTTCTCTCCTGCATGAGATGATTTGAGATGCTGAATGAGGGAACCTCTGAACTGATGGCTCTTTTCACAGATGGGGCAGATGGACGCGAGTTTGGATGAGTGATGTTTCATGTGAGCGATGAGAGCAACTTTGTAGCCAAAACGTCTGGGACATAAGTGGCATGTAAACGGCATGATCGACTCTGCATCCTCGTGAACTTTCTGGTGAGCTTTCAAAAAAGCCTGATCGGGGAAGCCCTTTCCACACTGTTGGCACATGAACCTCCCTTCGGGATTCTCCTTAGTGTGTATGGCTCGAT